TGGTCCCAGCAATTATCCGGGGCCTACTTGCTCTTCATCCAGTGCTCAAAGATCCACCACAGCAATTAGATCTACAAAACTATGTATTTATCTCTTCTCATCCACATAATCCTCATATTAAAATAGGTAGTAGGCGACAGAAAAAATAAGCACATTCACACTAAAGTGTAAATGATGAATCGTGCTTGGCCAGCTGTTTTGTACAAAACCAGTTAAATTTTAAGTCTCTATTTATTAGCTAGATAAATTTCCTATTATTTCTTCAAATATGGACACACCTTATTCTTCTCTACTGGGCAAAGTATATGTATGGTTTAGGAATAGCAGCAATATCTCAGGCAGTAAAGGGTAGTTGGAATAGCTGTTGTTGAATCTGAGTAACAGCTTTTAGTATGGTGGTGAAGAGGAAGAGGTGGGGAAAAGTCTGAGCATAGAAGGTTTTAGTTCCTTGAGCTTCATTTTCTCTTCCTTATTTTTATGCTGATTTGGTCTGTTTTTCCTCTCCTGTCAACAGACTGTTTCATTCTTCTTGGCATTATTGACTTATTTTGCTCCTGTCAACCAAGCTGGAGGCTGAGTTATGTGCTCACTCTGAAAATGCTCCTTCAGAAGCGTGCCTCTGAACTTTCTAACCAAGGCAGAGAGTAAGTAGGTACTGTGCTGTATGCAAATATACACATATTTCTCTGTGTAGGCCAAAAGGAGGGAGGCACATTGCAAATGCCTTTAGAACAAAAACTTTTGAGATGGGATATTTCATAGCGTCACTGAAAATGAGCTTTTAGAAAACAAAAAAGTACAGAGGAATAGTTATCTATAAAGTAAGTTGGGGGAAAAACCACACACAAAACAAAACATGGCTAATACTTCAACAGTGAGTTCACCTCAAGCATTTCATGAATTTCACATGACCCACCCACTTTTTCTCAGTACCTCTGAAGATTACCATATCAGCAGCAATAATACTCTGTTGTTCAAGCGCCAGATTTACATCTCAACGTAGCCCTGGCATTCCTGAGTGTAGAATACTGTACTGTTCGCTGCCTCCTTGCTGATTCCTATTATAAGGTTAATTTATGTTTCTTTACCCTCCTCTCTTAATCTCATGCTACCCTAGCCAGTGATTTTTTTTAATCTCCAGCCAGTGATTTTTTTCCTTTGTGTAGTTTTTTTTTCCTTTCCTTTCTCTTCTTTGTCATGAGGTGAACGGTCTGCAAATTTATTATGCAAACATTGCTACATTTTAATGTCTTTATCACTCAGCACAGATGATCTCTTTGAAAAGACAAGCCACGCACAAAGACTTAATGAAAGCACCTTTTCTCACACAACTCTCAGAATACTTTCTTCCCCAAGTTTATGTTGTATGGGAAGGTAGTCAGAAGTTAGGGGTTTCATGACTACTTTAGTCTCTTTCTTGGTAGGCCTTTTTTTAAAAAGAAGAGGATTTGCTGTTTTGAGATTGGATTGGACATGAATTTAGCAAAAATTTCCATGCCAGAATTGCATCAGAAAATTTTCATTTCCAATGGAAGTGTGGAAAAGGGTGGGGTGACTTTAAAATTTTTGTACTCATATGGTCAAATTTAATAGAAAATCAACCAGAACCTTACAAGCTATTTAAAGGAGCTTTCTTTCTTTTCCATATTCCTCTGGGGATATGAGCCCCAACAGACTCAAGAGCTTCAGGGAGTAACTTGATCATGTTGGTTCTGTTTATATACCTGTGCTCCTCTGTCTTTCTCTCTTTTTTCCTTTGCAGTACTGAGGATTGAACCCAGGGCCTTCTCACTGAGCTACATCCCCAGCCCTTTTTAAAAAAATTTCAGGCAGGGTCTTGCTAAATTGTTCAGTTGCCAGGCTGGGCTCAAACTTGCAGTCCTCCTGCCCCTGCCTCCCACATTGCTGGGATTACAGACTGGTGCTGCCGAGACCAGCTGACACCTGTGCTATTAGCCTAGAGGTGAGTGGGACAGCAGATGAATATGTAGAGAGAGAAATGAAGGCATGGAAGGTATGCAGACAAAGCGGGAGTGCGTGCGTGCACACCATGTTGTTTGGGACATTACTACCAGAAACTACAACAGCGGAAGGAAGCACAGCGCACCATGGGCCAACAGTGCCTCTGTGTGGGTGTCTGGGAGGACATGAGATGCGTCTGTGTGCCGGGAGGGAGTGAAGGAAGGAGAAATGTATGCATTTTTCAAAAGGAATTGCATGCGTTGGAGGTTGCTTTTGAGAATATAGAAAGGAAGGATTGAGAACCATAGATAGAGTATGTCCAGGATCCTGACCGCACATTCTTCTAAATTTCCCCCAACCCGCTAAAACAAATGTTTGCTGTGTTCATTTTTCCTTTGCTCCACGTCTGCCTGATGCTTAGTTCTCCCTACCCACTAAAAATGGCCCCTTGACTTCATCAGCATGTGGATTTCACATTTGATCTGTATTATTTTTCATCAAGTGCCCTGTTTAGAGAGTGCTTTTAGTCTCAAGTGTGTATTTCCCTCACCTGGATTACAGAGTTTTTGAGGATTCAATTTTTAAAACTAAAGATCTCTCTGCCTCTTGTTTTCTCTTTACTTCTTTGTTACCAATTCTGAGCACTTCTTAGCAAATGTTTACCATATTACTGTACACTACCTCTTCATAAGTTTTTCTTCCTTTTACAAAGTCTTTTATGATTAGGATTTTTTTTTTTAATTGCAATGTTGGGGATGGAATCTAGGCCTCAGGCAGGTGCTAGGTCACTGAGCTACATCCCCAGCCCAGAATTTATTTTTTAAATTAAAATTTGTCTGTTAAATTAAAAATTTTTGTCTCTCTCGCTCGCTCTCTCTTTGATGGTGGTACTTGAGGTACTTGGGCTTCAGTGTAGCTGTCACACTGAGCTACATCCCAACCCTTTAAAACTTTTTTAAAATTTCAGGCAGGTTCTTACTAAGTTGCCCAGGCTAGGCTTGAACTTGCCATCTTTGTAGCTCAGAGTCTTAGAGTGCTGGGATTACAGGTGTGTGCCACCATGCTTGTCCCACCCCCACTTTTGGTTCTGGGGATTGAAGTCAGGGTGGTTCTACCACTGAGCAAGACCCCCAGTCCTATGCGTTTTACATTGAGCAGATTTACTTTTTAAAAATTTATTAAATTCTAGGGCTGGTGATGTAGCTCAGTGGTAGAGTGCTTATCCAGCATGCACAAGGCCCTGAGTTCAATCCCCAATACCACAAAAACAAACAAAAAATTATTAAATTCTATTCTATATAAAATTCCAAATGTGCAGAAATAAAATAATACAATGGACACCCCATACCCACACCAGATTTAATACATTTGCTTCACATCTTTAAAAGCTAAGTGTACAGCTAACTGCCCATGACCCTCCTCATCCCATTCCTCTCCCTTCCTCCCTAGAGATAACCACTCTTCCAAAGCAAGGATAGGAAGGTTCGGGGTGCACAGACATACAGACACACACACACACACACACACACACACACACACACACACACCCTGCATGGTTAGAGTCTACTGCATTGTCCAAAAGTGTTTGTTCTCCCTCCTGGTGGGGGGATGGGCTGGTGATTGAGCCCCAGAATTGCTCAAATACAGCATAAGCATGGCCTGTCTATGGGTCTCCTGAAGACCAAAGGATGGGATGGATGAGCATTTTTTTCAGTCTTTGCAAACGTGTGAGCCCAAGGCTTGCAGAAGGCAGAATCCCTGTCAGCTGAGACACTTCCTACAAGGCAGGTGGGGTGCAGGAAGAGAGAGCAGCACAGGAACAGTAGGCTGATCTGGGAAAAGGAAGGAGCATCTGCTCTGAGGAAGCAGGTTTAGTAGTGGTTAGGGAATTACAAACTGAAGACACCCTGCACGCCAGAGAAGGAGGTGCCCTGGGGTGGAAAGCGGCTTTACACAGCTTTTGCTGTCCTCATCTTCAGAAAGGACAGGGCTGAGAGTCTCTCACATCATCATGAATGCAGGCTGGGGGTGGGTGGCGGGCCCTGGCAGGGCCTGAAAACCATTTCCAGTCTGCCAGAGATACTGCCAACCCCACGACCTGTCTGGGTGGCATTCACATGAGGTACTGACCTGCTTTAGTTCGTGGAAGCACTGTGGGTCCAACAGAGACCATTCAGCACCATTACGTGCCTACTTTGAACATTTCTTTATAAACGGAATCGTACAGTATGTGATCTTTTGTGTTTGGCTTCCTTAACACACTGTTTTCAAGGTTCAGACACATGGTAGTGTGTATCTGTACTTTATATTTTTTGAAACATGGTCTTCCTGTGCCACCCAGGCTGGTCTTTAACTCCTAAACCCAAGGGGTCCTCCCACCTCAGCCTCCTGACTGTACTTAGTCTTTCTAATGCCCAAATATTCCTTTACAGAATGTGTATTGTCCACAATTGGCCCCATTCGCCCACTGATGGACATTTGGGTTGTTTCCACTCTTAGTCCATTATGAATCATACTACTAGGACAGAATATTTGTGTTCAAGTTCTTGCATAATTATATTTTCATTTCTCTTGTATACCTAGGAATGGTCATATGGTAACCCTTTAAAATCCTGAGGAATCGCGAAATTATGTCCGCGAACAGCTTAATATTCTTATTAAAAGTCAAAAACACCTGGATTTGGTGTTTCCGCTGCGTCCCACGGGAGGGCCGCTGTCAGGGTCCTACACTCTCTTTTCCGCAGCCCAAGGCTCTTGGAGCCAAAACGTCTGACCCGGTGCTCCATGGGAAGCGCACTTTCAGCCTGCCTCCGGCCCCGCCTCCTAGCGCTTGCTGACCACAGGAAAACCGACGCCCCCAGCAGAGGCCATATGGACGTTGTAGTTCTCTTTCCGCACACCTGCGCAGAAACTGTGGAAGAAAAACTACAATCCCCACAATGCTCCTGTTCTAGGGCGGCCGACTGGGCCATTCCGCGTGCAGTGCTCCCGCCCTCCTCCGGCTCGGCGGTTCTCCAGGGCGTCTGTAAACACCCCAGAGACTGTCATGGAGAGGGAGGCGGCGGCAGCGGCGGCGCAGGGAGGCGCTTTGGTCCACTTCCAGGGCCCGCACTGCCATTCCTGAACCGGTCCCCGGACCCCGTGACTGTGGCATCAGAAAGCTAACTGTTAGGCAAGAGGAGGCAGCAGTCAGAACCCTATCCCCTTCTTCCCGGGCGGGGGCCGGGCCGGGCCGGCCTGCCTGCCGAGATGGATGACAGTAAGGTAAGTCTGGAGGTTTGCACGCGCAGCTGCCGCCGCCGCCGCCGCCGCCGCCTGCTTGTCGCTAAGGGCTAGTCCCGCTGCTGAGCCTCAGCGTGAAGTCCATGCCAACACCCAAGAGACACCTGCCTTAGACATCCCTGCGCCTACCTCGCCTTGCCCGATGGTACCCACCCCGAACTCCGGGAACACCGGGGCTGCATTTTTCCTGGGAGAGGCCTCTCATCTGGAAATGTTCACTCCCAGGGAAACCCTGTTCGCCAGCTTCCCAGGGAGTACAAACCCTCGTCCTTGACCTGCCGATCGAGATGAGCTAAGAAAGTACAGTTTTAGGCTTTTCTTTGTGCCCTCTCTTCTCCTTTCCCAAGCCGTGTCCAGTTTTGCAGACTTGAACCAATGCACCTTTGATCCAGCCCAGTTCCCCTTGACGATTTCCCTTCCTCTCGGGATTCCTCACTCAATGCCCCATTCATATAAGCTGTTCACTCCCCTTCTGAGTTATTTTCCTGTGGTTGGTTGGAACGTTGCTAAGCTCCCGTTGCTATTTGTCCGGAGGCTGAATCTAAACCTCCTCTAGAAAGCCATCTCTAAGGAAAATGGTTAATTTCTTCTTGTTAATGTACCTTCATATTAAACTCTCTCCCACTTTTCCTATCCAGTGCATCTAGATAGTGTGCGTTATTGGCTAATTCATATAGTTGATCCATGGATAGCCTATTTCTGTGTTTAGATCTACATACATTAGTGTTGTTTAGTTTTATCCCATGAAGATAAGAACAGTCAGAGATTTGCTTATTGATGTTTAAGAGTTCGGCTTTTTTAAGAAATCAAACTTTTAACATTTGCCAATTTTTAAAATAGAAATCATACCTCCCCTCTGCTTTTCAAAGTCTACTTTTCCAGTTTCTGGCATACTCTTTGGGAGAACTTTCCCCTTCGTTTAGATGTGCTTTTTTTCTTCCACCTGGCCAATAAAATTTTGCTGCTGCCAAATTTTTGATTCACACATCCTCAGAGGTCTGAAAAATTTCCAGCTTTTCTGTGCTGCTTGTTTTAGTCTACATTATCTCCTCTTCTTTATGCAGAAGGCTCTGAGAAGAATGATAGAAGGGAAAGCCCAGTTCAGTATTCTAGAATTGGGCACTGGTTACTTGTAAAGTGGCAAACCCCTTGGTATTTCTAAAATAGAAAGGGGAGGCCTGGGATATAGCTCAGTGGCATAAGCACCTGCCTGGCAAGCACAAGGTCCTGAGTTCAGTTCCTGATACAAAAAAAAAGATTTACCCATACTGGAATGGTGGGTAAGAAGACATAAAATAGAAAGGGGGAGTTCCCAAAGTTCCCCAGAAAGTAATTTTTCATAAAATGTTTGATAGCTAGATCTCTTTGTTAATTTAGAAATTAAGCTTAAATATTGAACCCATTGTCTTGCCCAGAAAATAGTAATTTGTGGCTGTTTGAGGTTACTGAAAGAACATATTGTTCCTTAATTTTCTCAACTTGAGACTCCTTACCTAATTTTCAGTTGTATCCCTTTCAGAACTTTGCAGCATTTAACAGCTTTCTTAAAATCTTCAATAATCTTAAATTCAGTCCAAGAGAAGCACGTAGGATTTTGAAATATTTACTTACCTCTAAGATCACATAGGGGTTACTTCTAGAATTAGCAAATCGTATTGAGAGTGATATAAAATTTTATTTAGCATTGTACCTCAGAGAGGATAAAGTACTACTGGTTAATAGTGATTGATTGAAACAGAGTGGTGACATTAAGGAGACTGCTCAGATGTCCATGAGCTTTCTTAATCAATGTGCGCCAGTTGAACAAACCTGCCAGAGAAGATATACACCGCTAGCAAATGGGAAAAACCAAGGGAAGATAGATTAGCCACCTAAAAAGAAAGGTTTGGGAAAGTACCAAGTAGCAGAGTCAAACACTGATTTACTAGAGTAGATGTCCTGTTAGGCTAGTTGGGAAGGAAAATTCCAGGCTGTTTACCCTTTCTGAGTGTCTACTTCTTTATCTTTTTGCTTTTTTTTTTTTTTGATATATGGTCTCACTACATAGTTGAGGCTAGCCTTAAATTCCCTATATAGCCCAGGCTGGCCTTAAACTTGCAGCAGTGCTCCTGCCTCAGTCTCCCTGAGTGCTGGGATTAAAGGCTTGCAGTACCACACCCAGCCTCTACTTCCATATCTGTTAAATGAATCCAGTACCTTCCTTGTAGGCTTTGGTGAGGATTAGAAATGAGCATATTGCACAGGAAAATAAATATGTTTGTATAACTAGAGCAAACTTTCTGTAGAAGTCCACATAATAAATGTTTCTGGGTCATATGGTCTCTGTTGCAATTATTCAACTTCCGTTATTCCCATTGTATCCTGAGATCAACCACAATGAATGGACAGGGCTGTGTGACAGTAAAACTTTATTTATAAAAATAGAAAGCAGTTTATATTTGGATTTTCAGCAGGACAATAATTTACTGACCTCTAAGCCTTGAGTAGAAGTGTGGTCAGAGACAAGGATAGAAAGATAATCAGGAGCCAGATTAGTATGTTTGGTGAGGTAGGTTACAAATTTGGGGTGAGTCTCTGTCAAGGTATAGAAGACACCTGCTGAATCAGAATATATGGGGAGGTGGCCCAGGAATTTGAGTTTAACAGCTCTTTAGTGAGTGGCTCATTCTTAATGAATATGAAAACCAAGGCTATAGATGTTGGAGGACCACCGAAAGATTTTAAAGCAGAGGGAACAAAACCAAATTTGTGTTTCTGAGACCATATTTGGGTGAACTGGTTCCAGATTATCGAGACTAGAGGCAGATGGTTCAGTTATGAAAAAACTGTGCATTTTGGCATATGACTTGAGTTCAGATGTCATTTCTACCCTTTCATTATTATTCTGGACAGATTATTTAATCTCTTCATACTTCTCTTTCTTTACATATAGGTTGAGGACCTTATTAAATTATTGTGATTAAAAATATATATATATTCATTTCGGAAGAATTTGGTTACATAATGAGTTCTCAATATGAGACCTTTCTGAGTCCTTTTCCACATTGGTTAGATTTAAAATGCCTGTTCTTTAGACCATGTTAGAAACTATTACAATGTAGGTTATACTTGATGCAATGTGGATAAAATCCCTCAAGGGTAAAGAATTTAGAGAAAAGAGAGAATGAATGAGACAGAGCCCCCCCCAAATCTAAAATAACCAAAGGAGGCTGAGGACTAGAATTAGCAAAAAAAACTGAAAAGGAGAGAAAAAAAGAGCAATTGTTATAGTATCTATCTACGGGTAGAGAGATGCAATGTGAGATGTCACAGAAAAGGTCAAGTAAAATAAGTAGTGAAAACGTATCCCCTGGATCTGGAAAAGAAGTTCTTTGTAAACGTAGCAAGAAGCTGGGTAAAATAGTGCATGATTATAGCTCCAGCTACTCAGTAGCTAAGTTAGGAGGATTGCCTGAGGCCAGGAATTCAAGGCCAGCCTGAGCAACATATTAAGACCCTTGTAAGTACTTATATAGTAAAGACTTACTACCTACCTAGCTAGCAGAAGCAGTTTCAACAGAGATAGGGTAGTAGACAGAATGTATCAGTTGTGGAAAGCCTGGATGGGAAAGAAGCAGAAATAATACAGTCATCTAACTGGATTTGTACCATCTCAGGCATTGCTAAAGTATATGTGATATTATATTTAGATAAAATTATACTTAGCTTCAGCTTCCAAAAAGAATAGTCATGGTGGGGGGTGTGTTAAAAGAGGAGCAGATAGTTAACTCAGTGTAGAAATGGCAGTAAGGTTAGCACCAGGAAGTGATTAGATGCTTTCTGAAGAGCCGATAAATAAGAGAAAGTGCCTAACTCTAGCTGTGAAGGAAGTTATGGGAGTCATAACACCCAATAAAGATGCCTCTATTTGCTTTGTTTTTTTCTTTAAAGTGGTAAAGAGCAGTGGAAAGGCATGCTGCTCTGCTCTTTAATCAGTGGGAGATATCTTTTCACTTTGTGTTTTTAAGAGAAAGGTGAAACAAGCCCTCTTGCTTTTTTTCCTGTTTTAGCTGAAGCTGCTGGTACCACTTACTTCGTGTAAATATGGTCATTCTCTTAAACTTAACAACTTGAAACTTACGAATTGTCTTAAGAATTAGAGCATTAGGTTGTAAATATGTACAAAGAGATGGTAAAGTCATTAGAGTTCTTAACTGATTTTTCAGATTTTATATCCTTTTCAGATTTTATATCCTTCTTTCAGATTTTATATCCTTTTAAAACAATTCATATAAATTGTTCTGGGTTGTGACACCAATTTAAATCAATTTCAAAATGCTGTTAATTTGTCTTTTTATTATTTATTCAACTGGCAGTCTATTTATGTATTCTGCAGTGCTGGGAATCAGACCCAGGGGCTTACATATGCTAAGCCTATCAGTGCTCAAGTATTAAACTTTTTTTTTGTCATTTTGAGACAGGGTTTCACTATGCAGTTCAGGCTGGCCTTGAACTCACTTTGTAGCCCAGGCTGGCCTTGAACTCAGAGCAGTCCTCCTGCCTCAGCCTCCCAAGTAGGTATTACTTTTTTAAAGTGAAGAGAAACATACTGAAGTGGCCAAGGAAGTGGAGTTAGGAAAAGTGAGACTGTAGAAAGATCCATTTGTGAGTCGCCTTACTTGTTTAGAGGTAGTAGGGACGGAAAGGAGAGAAATCAGAGATTTGATCAAGGAATGTACTGGCATGACTTCAGTGGGTGGGCATGGAGAGTCACAGTAGCAGGACAGTTCAAAGAAGTGGAAGTGTCTGTTAGTAAACCTTCTCAACTGTCCACTTAATTGAGTGCCTGATGTCAAAGTGAGTTGGAGTAAATTAGTGACAGTATAGCATCCATGCCACAATGTGTAGAAAGCACTGTCAACTTTAAGTCTTCTCCACGATTTATGTGTTCAGATGAATTGCCCTATGTGAGACCAGGGAGGAGAATAAGATGCTTGGTATTA